GATCTGTGGGTATATCATCTGACAATCATCCCTATATTATGTGTGTAACATCGGGCAATGCACATATCGTGATGTTTACATGATTCAAATTTCGCGTGAAAAATCCAAACTACATGTAAACTATGTTGCATTCCTTCTAAATTGAGAAATGTTACTAAAGATAGAAACAAGTGTGACAGTCTAGTCTTACCTTGGTGGGTGTGGCTAGATGGGCCAGTTTTCTTGCCAGACGACCTGTCATCATCTTCTCTCTCCTCACACACTGACACACCCAATCACCCGTCATGTGACTTGTGGGTGTGGCCACCACTCTCCTCCTCTGGTGTTGCCAGAAGTGACGGTTGCTAGGGAACCGTAAAAGGCATGTAAGAACCAACTGGAAGAGACATTTTTTTACATGGATTGGAGGTGTTGTTGGTAGTCATGGAGACGGATGAGACTCCGCCCCCCTCTCCCTCCTCACCTCCCTCAATAAAGGTTCATCCGGTGGCCGAGAGTCAGTCTCACTGCAGTTGTGTTGGGGATTGTCTGCAAGATGGGAAGCATTTGTTTGACACAATGTTGTTTAACTTTTTAACTCGAATTTCACTTAAAAAAATATGTGAATTTCGTAAAGTTAAAGAAATTACGCAATTTGGTATGTTGTGTTAGCAGGTCGATCACTTCTCTGAACTTCAAAAGGTATCTATTGTATTAGCAACGGCGTGTTTGTGTTATGCAGTATTGGTAGACGATTGCAGAGCTTTCTTTACATGCCTGCCATTCAAAAAAAGACAGAGCAAACGTCATTTTTTGTCTGAACACACATAACTTGTGTCTAACTGTGCAGTCCACACTCACAGGGTCTGTTTAGTTCCTTCTCTCTCCTCTTCTCCTCCAGTTTATGCCTCATCTTGTCTCTCTGCTTCGTGAAGTTGTGACTGGTCGGCACCGGAGGAGGCTGTGCAAAACATACAGGAAAATTTGGACGGATAAAAAATTTACATTCAAAAAACTTTCAATTGATAAAAATTTCAAACGCAAGTAATTTTGCATACTTCCATCCTGCCAATATTCACTAACAAGCAACACTGCCAATATCCCGGGTATCCTCAAATTCAGTGAGAAAATCAACTAAAACTTCCGTCAGTCTACAACCATCTGCACAAGCAACACAATTCCAGCATAACCCTATTTTACCACGTGTCCTGCGTTCTACACCAAAGGTGTATATTTGTGCCAGTCACACTCAGACATGAACAAATGGTCACTTGAACACATGATCAGGCTTGTACCAAGTGAGAGTGTACTGTGCCACAGTAACTGAGGTTTGCCCTTTTGTTGAAGATTTGAACAACTACACCTGCTGAGTTACCCTACGTACCAGGACAGCTCTTTTCGCTGGTTGTCACATGTGCAGTTGATTTGTTTGCCTTCACTTCACTCAGTCGGATGCACACAATAAACGTGCCACTAGCAAACTAAATCTGACTGTTTAAATCACTGATAATAAGCGTACGTACGAAGCCAGCAAAATTATGTCACGAAGAAATGTAACACCATTAACTAGTGAGCTACACATATAGTGAATATGATCATTGATACATGCTATAATTTGAGGCCATAACTCACTTTTTTGAATTGCTCCAGACAACTCCTCTGACGGCAGATCTTAAAAGGAGTGAGGAAAGGGTTAAAATGCTTACTACACCATATAAGGAGATGGCCTGCAAGACATTTACACAAAGAAAGTGTTCATAATTCTGCAATCAAGCACCTGATATCCCCTTATTCAGAGGTTTAGAATATTTTTATCCCATATTAGCCGTAGTCCGTAAAGTTGTACTATAAGTTACTATAGTGATGAGTAGTTAGTGAGATGGCTTAGGCAAGTGTTTTAGGCAAAGACAAAATAAGTGTTCAGTGTGATGTAATGTAGCCGTTTCTCAGACTCCGGAATCGAACCCTTACTATTGTTGTGGCTGGCCTGACACATCGTCCACAAAAGTAATGCAATTAATTATGAATAATTATGATCATTGCTTCATGTGACACCTTCTTAGTACAATTGTGCTACATATATGCATACTTACTATTATAAAAATTGGACACCAAGCCTATAAAACATATGATCGGCATGTGAAGTGAGCATGCACCTATTAGCCTTAATCTCGCAAGCCCAGCTAGTCCCAGTCAACTGACAGCACATGTCCATATTGAATGCTTTACCTACTTCAGAATAAACATCAAACTGCTTCAATTTCGCACTCACTCTAGCTTGTCAACAATTCTTCAACGCTGTATATGATAAACTAATCCTACAGCAAAAGTTGCAATTCTGAACTAAGCCCACCGCACACCTACACAGCTGTAATTATTATGATCAAAACACAGGATAATGGTCCAATTAAGACAATATCTACAACAACAGTGTGTATAAATAATATACGGTACAGTGGGTCTGAGCCCGCCATTGTGCACAAGGAAGTGACGTACTTTAAATACACACCCACAATATAAGCATTCCTTCATCTTTGAAACGCACATCGTATAATGAACCTTGCAGCTGCAGAAGATTTGCTATTGGTTAGTACGCTTGCTATTCGGAAGACTTAAAGCACACGAGTAACGGCATATAAACGGTGCAAATCTTCAGTCTTTAGAATAGACAAGAACATAATACGCACTTTACGCCAAGCTTTACCCATTGCACATGTCTTGATGGGAATGGTGATGATGGTGAGTGTGGTCATACGTCTGTAATGGAGAGTTGTCATGCCAACTGTACCAGAGATCAGTAGACATGGTACTCCAGCACTTCTCTCTCTCAGTTATTACAGTGGAAGTACACCTCATAATCTCTCACTAGAGGATAGTACTTGGCTTATACTTCTATTTCCCTCAAGCACCTCTCACAATTTTTGATGTCCCCTTATTTCAGGGGATTTGCTGCAGTTGCTAACTGTATGTAGTGGCAAGAAAGGTCTGAATGTTTGTCACATTTTACTGCAACATTCAACAGTTGCACTCAGTAGTATGAAATGTAGTACTCCCATTGTGAGAAATGATGGCTAGAGCTTACAGTGGAAATACACCTCATAATAAATGACACCTCTCACTAGAGGATACTTGGCTTATACTTCTATTTCCCTCAAGCACCTCTGACAATTTTTGATGTCCCCTTATTTCAGGGGATTTGCTGCAGTTGCTAACTGTATGTAGTGGCAAGAAAGGTCTGAATGTTTGTCACATTTTACTGCAACGTTCAACAGTTGCACTCAGTAGTATGAAATGTAGTACTCCCATTGTGAGAGAAGGTTTACTGTAGTTTTAAGTCAAAAGAATGTGTTGCAAACCAAACCACTCACCTTTGCACAAAAGTAGGTGGAATAATGCCTCAAGTTTCCCCACAACCCACTATTCTCATTACCTCCTCCTCCACCCAGGGTCTTGGAGTTCCATTCAACATCGCCAACTACTCTCTACTGACATACATGATAGCTCACGTCTGCAACCTCAAGGTTAGCCACGCCCCCCTCATTAACCTCTGACATCATCATAATTAACACCCTCTCCAGCCGGGAGACTTTGTACATACTCTAGGAGATGCACATGTCTACCTCAACCACATCCAACCTCTCAATATACAGGTTTGTGGGTTATGATAATTGGCTTATCACATTGTCTGCTGCCAGTAAACCTCATTCTTCCATCTCTAAGGACACCCCTGAAAATATAGATACTTACAGTAGCAGTTCTTGCATGCAATTTAACCCCTGAAATGTGGACACCTTACTTTCTTCTCCCTATCAGTGTCAGGATTAGAGGGGTTCCACTGTATAATGAACGTACCAAAACTTGCTAAACAAACTCTGATTGAATTTGTGATAATAATAAGACCATGGTAATGAGAGGGGCAGTGTGTCATTCCCCCATTCCTGTCCCCAGCTGCAGCGGAGCCCGAGACCATTCCCGAGACTGGAACTGAGAAGACAGGTCTCCGACATCGACAAGTTTGTTTACGCTGACATCATTCTCCATGACTACCTTCCTCACCCCTAGATACACATGGACATGGCTGTCTAGCATCTTTTATTCCCTTTCCATGTTAATAAGTACTGTATTACCTTCAGCGAATAATTACACAGGAAATGTCATTTACAACCGCTAAGTGGTCATGCATAATCTCAAGCGAAACGAGCCCACCCGGAATAGTTTGAGCAATGGCAGAGTTTCTGCGCGACAACGCAGAGCTGCGGCAGTCTCTTCTCTCCAATGTACGGCTAACTGGCGATGAGATCGGGCGCCGGAGCCTATGGCAGCGTGGAGGAGGTGGCCGTGCCTGGAGCCATCTGCGCAGCTCAAAGGATCCACGAAGTCTTCCTGGACACGCTCCGAGATCCGTGACCGAGATCCACAAGTCGGCGCCACAGTTCGCGAAGGAATGTCAGCACTGATGGGCACCCTCCGCCACTGCCGCAAACATCGTCCAGTTTCTTGGCTTGTATTTACTGCCCGGCTCGCGACTGCCGGCCCTCGTCATGGAGCGACTGCTGACGAGTCTTCACGACTTGCTGGACGCAGAAGAAACCGACACCCCTCCTCGCCCGACGCGCCCAAGCCCTTCTTCCGCTGAGCCTAAAGTGCTCGATCCTGCACAACGTGGCGTAGCGGCCTGACCTACCTCCACGCAGCGATCGCCCGCCCATCATCCACCGCGATTGTCCTGCCAGAAACGTTCTCCTGAACTCGAGGGATGGTGGCCAAGATAGCAGACCTGGGCGTGGCTCGTATCGTGCCTCGTATGCGAGTTGCAGCCACCATGACAAAGGGACCTGGCGGGGCCATAATTTACATGCCTCCAGAGGCCATGGAAGCAAACTTGAGGAGGAAAATGAAGGAAGGAGAAAGACAAAACGTCAAAGTACGATGCAAGCATCGCACATTTCTCTTTTGGTGTCGTGGCCATTTTCACACTCGCCAAACTTCCCCATGCGACTTGCTTGCTACTGCCATATCGTATAGTGTGAGCCGAAAATTGCTTAGGTAGAACTGAGCTAGAGCGACGACGAGATACATGAGGGATGATCTACAGGCAGCTACGCGAGAAGCATCCTCTCCATACAGATGATCGAGGGGTGTTTGAACTACCTGAGTTACTGAGCCGAGCATTTCGTGAGGTGCTGCGTCTGTTGGAGGAGGCCAGAGCTGAAGTGAGAGACGAGCAGACACACATGAACAAACTGGAGCTGTTGGCTAGCTCTTCAGACCCAGCCCAGGAACCAGGTGAGGAGACTGTGTGTGCTTTTGTCTGTAGTTGAGAGAGTGTTGCCCAGTTGACTTGATGTTGGTTATTAGGAGAATGTTGAGACTAGCAGCGGACAGCTGAGGAGAAAGGAGGCAGAGTTAGCTGAGGCCCGAGGGCAGCTGAGACAGAAGGTGAGTAGCGTACATGCGCACATTCTCGACAGTGCTAGGTGATACCTGAAGATGTGTGTGCCGCACAGCAATTAGAACCTCCTTTGGAAACCGGTTCTTTTTCCTAGACGATAACTAACGTTAACGATTTGCTAGAGCGCCCCTAACGCATCATAATGTAGCGCGCTATAGCGCCGTCTCCAACAGCCTCAGTTTGAAAAACCGTTTAATTATTCGGAACGCTCGAACAAAGGATTATCGGCTTCCACTATTCCACTCCATTTCTCCCTATCCGAATATTGGCACGCACATACTTGGCAAACAGTAAAGGTGCTGCGCAATAAATAGCAATAGAAAGACGTACTGTAGCGTTTTATGCACTACAGATAACGTAGTTTGCGAATTGTATGTTGTAAAAAAACAATGAAACTTGCTGAGGGAAAACATGTTATTCAGCCAAATATTATCAATAAACAATGGGCATAAGCCTTTCTTTCCGGTGTTATCCACAAAAACACAGTCCTCCATACACTCCTCATGAAGCCCACCTGCTGCAAGCACAGCCAACCAGTCCTTTCATGTCTGTTCAGAACGTATCTTCATAATTATGTATGAAACATACGCAGCACCGATAGTGTAATGGCTTCATCTGCTGCAAAATCAGGCCTTTCTGTTGGGTGGCTGTATTCGCTTTGTTGATCGTTTCTAGTGCCTGCTGTGTGCGATGTGTTATGATTCTACCCCCCCCCCCCCAGGTGCGTGTTAGAGTGCGGTTTTGCACGTCTCTTTCTGTTTGCAGGCCTTTTGTGACCGCCATTTCGGAACTGTCTATGGCCTTTTTATACGCTTCTTCTGCTCATTCGTCGGATCTTTCGTTTCGTGTTTTCCTCTCTCTTTCGTTTATGGTCCTCCACTCTCCTCTTTTGTTCCTGCTCTTTCTCCTGTAACATCTCACACGCCCCAGTGCTAGTCAGTAAACGAGCTCGTGCAGTGACTTTCTTTGGTAGCGCGACAAGGTTCGCTCATGAGCTTCCCTTTGTTGAAGCTGCCTGCGTGCCACATAAGAACTGCTGGAAAGAGCACTGTCTACTCTTTACTTGAGCTGGTGCAAGAGAGAGGAGAACTAGTGGACAAATATGTAGAGGTTGAGGCAGAGGAAGATGCACCACCAGACGCTTGGGCAGAGGAAGACACGCCACTAGATGAGGCAGAGGAAGATACAGGAGTTAGACAAACATCCAAAGTCACAGGGGATTGTGGGACGATGGCTGAAAACTGTTCAGAGAGTGAAGGCTCTGGTCCTTTTGAGGTCAAAGGCGAAGTTGATGTAGGAGAAGTGTCCGGATGATGTAATTTCACCCACGCCTGGTAGACCGGATCAGGTAGATCAAACCCCTCATTATAACGACGTTCAAAGCGCTCAACTTCTTCAGCAGATAAGTTTTCCAAGCTAACAGCTTTTTAATGTGTGTTCGTAGCCGAGCTGGCAGGAACATTGGAATTTTTTCTTAAAGTCTGTGTGTGGAGCAGAAGGCGTGGCGGGAACAGGAGTAGTCTCTACATTGCTCACCAAGCCAGCGGTAGTGTTATTACTGGACGATGCTTCTGACTCGAGGGCACCAGGAAGGTACAAACATCCGAGTTTACGTCGTCAGTGAGAGTGAGAACATTTGGGTCCAACGGATACAAACCGGCTTTTCGAAACCCACCAATTATGTTTACAGGTGTCACAGCTCGACACCAGGCTTGAGAGAAGAGGCGTGAAAAATTATATTTTGTCACCACACTGCCAGGGTTTTGCTGATAGAATTCATGGCACACTCTAGTCCACTGCACCTTTAACGGAGCGAACACACCGACATCAAGGGGTTGAGCTTCGTGAGTCGTGTGAGGAGGCAGGCACAGGATGATGCAGTTGTGCTCCACTGCAAGACGGATTACTTGTGGTTGGTAGTGTGTGCAGTGACCGTCAAGCAATAGGAACAGTGGACGTGCTGATACTGCGTTCTCAAGGAAATGCTCATGAAACCAGGCCTCGAAAAGGTCTGTGTTGATCCATCCGTTAGAGCTAAGGCCATACTTTGTGTCAGGCACCTCATCTCTGGTCCATGCAGGGTTTAACCTCGCTGCATCGTATATGATCATAGGAGGTATAGCCTGCCCACTCGCATTGGCACACCCGACCACAGTCACCTGCCCTTTACGCCAAGAGGTACGGTACCGTACCTTCTTTGTTACTCTTCCCTTGGTTGTGACGATCTTTGGTGGGCGTGGATTTAGAGGGACACCAGTTTTGTCTACGTTGTATATAGATCTCCGAGGGCTTGTTCAGAAGGCCATGTGTTGTCAATGTCTCGCGCAGTAGCATAAAGTAGTGGTCAATTGTCTCCCGGTTCATGGCGTCCATCCGGACGTGAGCAGTGCTGTCCCCCTGCCGCAACGACAAGTCACCCTGATGCTCCTTGAATCGTCTCCACCAGCCATCAGACACATGGCTGGACCACAGTTTACCACTCTCGTTGACAGCAGATTCGACAATACAGAGCACATCCCTCCTCGTTTTTCCATACCCAACTTTAGCACAGTGCTTTAGGTAGCTACCTAGCTCTTTCTCCTCTGCCTGACTGAGGTACGGTTCGGGGCCTGGCTTTACACCGTGGACAACTCTTCCGGTACTCCTAGGTACGTTGAAATCCTGTGCCGCTTTACTGACAGACACACCTTCTTCGACTGCCTTGAGAGCTAACAGCATATTCTCTTCGGTCCACTGCTTTCGCTTTCCAGTCCTGGACGGTGGAAGACGCACAGCAGCAGGAGCAGAATGCGATCGTTTCCGAATGGCGAAGGACTTCCTTCTGCGGGGCATTTTGGTCAGTTAGGCTAGATAAGGAGAATAAACAGTTTATGCAGGTTTTTGCAGTCTCGGCTTTGAGGTAACTCACCAGTAGGAGCAAAGAAACTGAGAAAAGCTGAGTGCAAACAAGGGCCGAAAAAAACAACGTGTCGTCCTCCGTATACTTCACCGCACACTGGACGTAAATTAACGTGCCATTCGCGCATAGTGCGTTGCCAATAATAGGTAGAGTCCGATAATTGGCAGTGTACGCTATGAGGTATGTTTAGTTGCAAGTCACTCTCTTTCTGACTGCAGGAGGAACAGCTAACAAGAACTCAGCAGCCTTTGCAATCCAGAAACCACCAACTAAGACAGAACGTAAGTGTTCAAAAGTATTGTGTGGCAGTTTTAGGGTTTATAATTTTGCAGGAAGAACTGCTACAGTCCAGTGAAAGGGAGAAACAGATTGTTGTACAGACAACTACAATCCAAGAACCAGGTGAGGGACCTTTTATTCAGTCATATAATATTCAAATGAAGGGTTGGCTACTAAAGGAGAACGCTGAGCTCCAGCAACAACTAGAATCCAGTGAGAGAGAGAAACAGACAGTCAGACAACAGCTGATCAGCTCACAGAGACAGACTCAAGAACTGAGACAGAGAGTTAGTCAAGTCTGTGGAACTAATGCAGTGTAACGAGGTCCTCCTGACTGCAGGAGACTGAGTTAGTGCAGGCCAAGGACAGGGAGCTAAGAGAGAAGGCGACATTGCTAACAAGGAAGGAGAGAGAGTTAGCTGAGACTCAGCAGCAACTGAGACAGAAGGTGAATAGTGATAACTGCAGGATGTGTCATGTTTTGTGACTAGAGGTCCTCCTGACTGCAGGAGGAACAGCTGCGATCAAGTGAGGCTCTAGTGGCTGACTTCCAGAAGGCCCTCCAGCAGAGAGACTGAGACTCAGAGAACAAAGGTAAACAATCTTTATTCATTGGCTATGAATCATATCCGTGAATATTGCTCTGTGTTTCCACCCTCTTTTGTCAGACCCAGCCTGCTCACCCTAGCAACAGCTGTACCCCATGCCATACCACCTGTAGTTAAACCACGAAAGGTAGGCAACATTAACATTGATAACTGTTGTAGAGTATCACGAGGCCTTTAGAAATTCATAGAAATTTACTAATATTTTGTTGGTGTCCGGTTGTATGGCGTATTCATACACTTTTCACTGTGGGATACCAGTGCACATGCATACAATGGGAGAGAATGAATACCAGTGCACAACTTGGCACATGACACAAAATGGTTCTATGTGCAGTGGTGTTCTCTGCCTTGTGACTTGATAATAATCTTACCGTGTCATTGGTATAAAAAGTGTATGCACATGGAAAATAATCAGATTTGAGACTCTGCCAGAGTCACTGAAAGAGGTGAGCGTTGCCACGCACAAGTCTGGTCGTGCCACGCGTAGAAGACAGAGAGAAGTCGCACACTTTTTTCTCTCCCATAGAGAATGTATGGAGGACGTGAATTTTGAGCCTGCAAACTAGCTGCCTAGCCTGCAATCGATTATTATTATTTACGCCCAATCAATTTGCATGACACATGTGCAAACTGTACACACGTATGCAGCCACAGTGTTACATTCTGAGGTCCAGATTTAAACGATTATGATGTCATTACATGTCATGTGATCTCCCCTCAGCTCACTGTGCAGTGTCATCGTAAGAAGACAGCACCATGTGGAATGATCAGAGGATCTGCAACAACTGATGGTCGATTTGCATACTTCACCCCACGTTACTCCACCTCAGTCTACCAATATGAATGTAGTACAGAGAAATGGGAGGAACTTCCTTCATGTCCATATCAGAACTCTGGACTAGTCATAGCTGACAGGGAACTAACTGCTGTAGGGGGATGGGGTGGTGAATCTCGTTATACTAACAAACTATACACACTACGACAGAGGAAATGGGTTGAGAAATACCCTCCAATGAACACTGCACGTTCCGACACTGCTGTAGTTAGTACATCTGATGGTGAATACCTCATTGTGATTGGGGGGTTGTTGGTGTTTGATTGGACTGCTACAGTTGAACTATTTCAAGTGAAGAGCAGAAGATGGTACCAACTAACAGACTTACCACAACCTCTCACCTTCCCTTCAGCCACAATATGTGGTGATCAGTTGAATGTGATAGGAACTGATGCTAACGGCTACTCGTGTTCTCTTGCAGCGCTACAATCCAGTGATCAACCAATCACATCACCTCTCACCCTACCCTGGAAACCTATCCCTCCTCTACCAGTGACAGGCTCAACAGCTGCCACTCTCTGTGGACAGCTAGTACTCATGGTGGCGTGTCGAGGGTGGGTCATCAGTCAAGTCCATTCACCAGCTAGATGCCATGGGCCTAGCCGACAGTAGGGTTGCGATTGGAACCCCCTGTCATGAATAGTCGTCTCGGTTAGGAGAACGTGTTAGTAGTGCCCGAGATCCATGCGCTGAGCCCCAGATCCATCCATCAGGGATACGTGGTATCTGTTATCTTCCGACCCGTTTCACAGACAGAGCGCTATAGGA